CCCCCCCCCCCCCCCGGGGTTTGCATTACTGACTTGATGGGCAAGATTTAGAAATGTGCATCAGTGCTGAGAAAATGGTAGTGGTGCACTTTTGAACTAAAATGAATTGAAGGTGTGTTAGTTCAAAAGTGCACCGCTACCATTTTCTGTGTGCTGACATGCGTTTTGCCATTTATACAAACGTATGCGATGCAGCACTGGGTGTCTCGGCTCATATGATCTGCTGACTTGATGAACTGAGTCTGCTCCAACGTGCTGGGTTTCTGGCGTGTCAGAACAGACAAAAGTACGTGTAGAAATGCCATGTGAGCCCAACCTGAAGAGAGGACTGTGGTGTTTTTGTTGTTTTTGTTTTTGCCCTGGGAGAGGTGACTTCTAGTCAACTTGGGACTTAAGTGGGTTGCAGTTAGCTAGGGAACCATGGAAATGGTTCTACTGAAAAACATAATGGCTTCTTTTGCTTTGGCGTTAGAGTAAGCAGTTACGTTCTTACGTTCCATAGATAAGTGCCATACTAAGTCAAACCAATGTCCATCTAGCCCAGTATCCTGTCTCTGTCAGTTGTAGTAGTAAATAGTTTAGAGGGATAACACCTTACAGTCAGTGGAATTATTGGATATCAGTGTGGAGCTTGCAAATTATTGCCCTACTTCAGAGTCCTCTGCTCTTATGGACTTTGAATTGCAAGGGAAGTAAAGGAGTGTCATGGTTACTCCACCTTTTTTGTTTCCTCCTGAAGGCATAAGGAAGCTCTGGGTGTGTAGGTAATCCCAGTGGATGCTGCTAGCTAACGCAATCTATTCTCTCACACATGGGGTTCATGTGTATGTACAATGCAAGTATATTTACACTGCAGTTTTAAACCTGGCATTTCCTTAAGCAGTGGTTCTTTCTGTCTGGTTTGTCCCTAAAAATTATACTAGTGGCTTTAGGGAAAGCAGCAGTATTGGGTTATGCTGGAAGTAATGAATAGGATATTGCTCCCCTGATACCTGCTTTGGATCAATTCACGTCCTAAACTGATTCTGTAACCCGCTTGTCTCCTGATTATTGCCTTGGTTTCACAATTTGCTAAACTTTTTAAACTTTCGTGTAAAGTATTAACCCTGTTTTTTTTAACCATCTTGTAAACAGACAAAACACTTTGAGAAGCTTCTAGTCTTTTTCTGAGAGTGGTGAATTACTATGTTAAACAAAAATTAAGTCCAAGTCATTGTGTATATTTCTGAAACTTCTTCATGTCTCATACCATCACAAACGGTAGTTCACTCTCAAACTTAGTACAGCAGTATACAAAAATGGGATCTGGAGATCTTGGTACAGAAGGATTTTCCTTCTGCTTGAATGGATGATCACAGAAATTCCCTTACTTGGATATTCTGAACCCTCTGTAGGATTATCCTTTTTAAATCTTGGTTCTTGCTGCAGAACAATGTCCGTGCTACTGCACTAGCAACTGTGAATGCATGGGCAGAACAGACTGGCATGAAAGAGTGGTTGGAAGGAGAGGACTTGTCAGAGGAGCTCAAAAAGGAGAATCCTTTCTTAAGACAAGAGGTAAAGACTTGTAGTATACATTGAGTTGTTTGTTATGCCTTTGAACTGCGTTTTAGCCGCAGTAAACAGTTCCAAAAATAATGGGGATAAGATGAGGCGGACTGCAATAATATACCAGGGCCACCATAAGGGTAAAAAATGTGTAATGCAATTTCAGTACTGAAACTGACAAACATGACAAGGAGTAATAAGCAGCACTCTATGCTTGTATTGAAATTTAAACAAAACTTTAAAAAAGGCAAACCAAAAATGAATGACTCTGCCTGTTGCCCAAATGCTGGATAAGAGCAGGACTGAGGTTCTGGGATGTTACTGGAACTGAGTGCTGACCAAAAGTAATATGTACTTTGAAATGCTGGTCACAGTTTTGCACATGAAATACAGTCTGTGAATTCTGAAAGTCTAGCCTGGGGATGAAACCTTTCAATTAGAATCAAGTCAGCTGCATATTGAAGCCTTGTTGCCTCTGTGAATTGCACTTTCAGATTCAAGAAGACGCAGGTGATTTCAGGTGCCCGGTTTGAGCGAGGCATGTTCTGGACTATGAGGGCAGATGCAAGAAATGTTGCTCCTATTAAGCCTGCTGATGACACATCCCCACTTAAATATTCCAGACAACAGCAACAATATTAAAAGAGTAAAGCTTTATCTGTGCTTTCTTCCAGCTTCTGGGATGGCTGGCTGAAAAGTTACCTACCCTCCGTTCAGTTCCTTCTGACCTGCTTTTATGCGTGCCTCATCTGTATTCCTGTCTAGAGGATCGCAATGGGGATGTGCGTAAAAAGGCCCAGGATGCCCTGCCATTCTTTATGATGCATCTTGGTTTTGAGAAGATGGCTAAAGCCACTGGCAAGCTGAAGGTATTGTGGTCTTTTAACTGGGGATGGCAGTGTGAGCTTGGATGAGAGTGGATGTAAATTGTAATATATAGTGAATGTAATTTTGGTAAACAGGTCATAAGATCAATTTATTAGAACTACATAAACTTGCAGATATACCTGGTGATTCTGTAGGTGTGAAATGCCTTATTTGTTTTCTCTGTGGATATGGCCAAAACAGATTGTAAAGCATCATGACCCTGGTTTCCTGTCCCCATGCAGATTTTTCTTTTTTATTATTTATTTTTTAAGTTGATATCCACTTGTTCTGTCTGTCCACACACCTCCTTGCTCTTTTCCTTTATTCCAAGGTTACTGTCTGTAGGACTAGGGTACTGCTGACATGTGATAGGAATACTGAGGTACCAGAGATCTAGGCCAGGCTTAACTGATGAACTCTTACTTCTCTTAAAATTTACATCTCATAAACAAATATTTCTAATTCTCATCTCCACCTGCACACTTTAAACTCTCAAGCACTGCAAAGCCTTCAAACTGTATTGGTGCAACCTGCTTGGTATCCTGAACTCCTGTAGTCCCTTACGGATTATACTATTTTGAGGCCTTTTCATGACACCTTCAGGAAGGTCTCATCTATCGCTGTCAAGTCTTGATACTGAAGGGCAGGAGCCTCCCAGAGGCAAGGCTGAAAGGGACTTCCCAAGGGCATCTAATCCAACTCCCTGCCTCTGAGAGGCTTAAAAATACACTAACACATATAGCAGAAAGAGGGGGAGGGGCAACCAACAAAGCCCAGAAGCATAGGAAATACCCATGGTAGAGCATAGGCTTAGCTACACCTATATTATCCCCAACCAGTGGCTGTCCAGCCTCTTCTTGAACACCTCCAGTGATGGAGAATCCACAACTTTACTAGGCAGTCTATTCCACTGTCTCACTGTTCTTCTACACCATAGTTTTTCAACCTGTGGTACATGTACCCCTGGGGGTATGCGAGACACAGGCAGGGGGGTACTTGGGTACCTCAGCATTCTCTCTTGCCCTCTTTTCCTCTCTCGTCCCTTCCTCCTCTCAAAACTATGGTAAAAAATTTGGTGTGTCGCACATTGCACGGTGCTTTAAATTCCCCAGTAATAATTTGGTGTTCAGCTCTCCTAGTTTTGGTCAACATCACCTCTAGCCCAGGTACATACTTGAGTTGTGCACCCCGGTATAAAAGGTGGCAACCCTACTCGCACTAGCTCAGACATCTGTCATGTCACAGCCTTATATACACAGCCCATCTTCCAACATATGGAACATATTAGTCTGTAAATATAAAATCCCCTGGAAAATTGAGTGTTGGGGTACTTATTAAAATTTTAATAAGTTGGGGGGTTCTTGCTACTTAAAAGGTTGAGAAACACACTGTTCTACACATCCTTGCTCACAGTTGAACAAATGTCTCCCTAGTGCTTTGGAGCTAGCAACCAAATGATCCTTTAGGGACCTTGAATTCTAAAAACATCTTCTCTGGCTACAGGTTTTACTCTTCATAGTCTCATATAAATTTCTTTTTTAACTTGACACACTATGTAACATTCCAAATATGTTGTAACTACATTCATAGGAATTGCCCCTGTATCTCAAACCAGGTATCTAGAAAGCTCTGTCCTTCAGACAAAGCTTCTTTCTGCTTAGCCTCTTTTGTGATGCACCTTTAATATGCATCTATTTAATTTCTGTTTATAGCTTATGTTACATTGGTTTCTCTCTAGCCAACTTCCAAAGACCAGGTCCTGGCCATGCTTGAGAAAGCCAAAGCCAACATGCCAGCCAAACCAGCTGCTCCTGCTAAGGCATCTTCCAGGATGGCAGGAGGAGCAGCACCAGCCAAATTCCAGTCTACATCAGGTAATCTCCAGGCCACCTAATAGTGGAAAAAGTAAGGGGAGGAAGAGATTCTCTGGAAAAGACTGACTTGAGCCTCAGCCTTTCCCTTCAGCACTCAGTCACGCAAACTTGAAAACCCAGTCTTTGTAAGTTGCTGGTACTTTTCGGGAAAGCCTTTGCTTGCATAGTGTGAGGACTAGGATAGCAGTTGTTCTCAATTTTTTTTTTAACTTGAGGCACCTTTCATTGGACTCCAGACACTTTCTTGGCCTTGGGCTTTTTCTGCATGAGGATGCTGAAGCCAATATGCATGAATTAAAATGAACTAGTTACATGCACTAAGCCTCCATGTGCTCAATCTCCATTCAGAATTAAATTGGCTTTAATTTGAATTGGCTAATTTGCTTTAGGAAAAATCAGATTATGTCACTTTCGTTCTGAATTAGTGTTCACATGGAGGCTTAATTCTGCCAACAGAAAGAAACCATCCCTGTTCTGACAAAGCTTGCCCTTTAAGAACAGCAGCATACTAATAGTGAGGAAGAAGGAAAATCAACGTGTAACCCTTTATTTTACTGGTTGTTCAGATATGAGAGATTTCTTTCTTAATAGTGATGGACTTTGCAAAGACTTAGCTTTTAATTCACGGATAAACAAGCTCCCTGTTGAGTCTAAAATCCCCCATTTTGTAACTTTAAAGGGATTTGTTATCTTAGTAAGCAGCTTTACCTTCTCTGCAGTGAGACTGGAAAATCTGAGGTGAACTCGGTGTAAATTTATGGAAGGGCTCATTCTTTGTAAAATATTTGAAATACTCTCTTGTTCCCAAGCACCCACTGACGATTCAGGGTCCAGCACCATGGAGTATAAGCCTGACCCAAAAAAGGCCAAAGCAGGAGGAGCTGCCTCTAAAGCCAAGGTATGGGGATTCCAAGCACATAATTAATAACTACTAATGAATTATTCTTGTGGATTTTTAGCTTTCCAACAAACCCTGTAATATGCAGTGCTTTTACAAGAAGGGTCTGTGTCAGGTTATCAGGGCTTTTAAACCAAAGGAGTCTTTTCAGATCTGTTCTCTAGATGTGCTTTTATAATTGTTTTTGTTCTTGTCAGCACAGCCACAGCTGTACTAGAAGCTTGCTGCGGCTGAACCTGCCTGTCTTCAAGTCTGCTTGGCTGCTTTATCTTGTTATAGATTTAGATGTTAAAATCTGTAGTAAGTATCTAGCTGCAAAGTTGTTTTTTTAGCTTGGAACAGTAACTGAATCCATAGCAGAGAGATGGTCCACAAAGCCTAATGGCCCTTTGGGCTAGCATAGTACAGGAATAGCATTTTCATAGCTAACAGCACACACAAAGGTGTGAAACTAGCACCACATCTGGCTGCCTTGGACTCCCCAACCTAAATGGCCAGGTACCTGTTTACTGCAAAGATAAGTGGGAGTTTTGTGGTGGTGTTTTTTATTTGTCATGGGTCCAGAGCAGGATTTGAACTTGCACCTCTGGAACTGTAGCGTGATGCTTCAGCCAGCAACTTACCATGCTGCCACTGCATCATTTGGTCAACTGTGACATTGGAAGTGGAAATCCTTCTCTCCAGGGCAGTATGTGAAGGGAATGCTAAGGAGTGCAATGGTAGCCTCAGCTGGCTGTACTTGAGTTGTGGCATTCACTTTGTTCTCTTATTGATAGTATATCATAGTTCATTGTTTTGCTGTTGTGTGGGGCAGAAATTGAAAGTGCTGTTCTGCTTGGAAGTAAAACAGTTGACTGTTCAGAGATTTTTGTGAGGGTGCCTTTGTAAATGTTCGTGTTTCAGATGAATTATTTCATCTAAACTCTTAAGCTAGAATGTTCTTCCTGAGCATGCAGTGGGCTTGGTGGGGCCTTAATGGAGTGATTTAGAGATAAGTATTAAGAACTGTCCAACCACAAAGCCTTTTCTGTGGCCTGTTGCAGCAATCTGATGGTAATAACAGTATGTCCAAGGGCAATACGAGCCTATCCAAGGCTAATACAAGCCCCACCAAAGGCAGTTCCAGTCTGACAAAGAACAGAGCCATCAAACAGGTACCAAATTGGGTTTAGACATCTGTGGGTAACTTGTGCACTGGTCAACTCTGAAATGTCCTGTGTCACAAGAGGCTACTGCACACACTTTATAGTGGGTTTTGCTTCCACTTGCAGCAGAGCATTTACCTCAAGATTCTAACAAACATAGTTTTCCAGCTTCTGCCTGGGTCTCATACACTTGTCCAGCATGATGGTGTGGTAATGTTCGGTGCTTGGAATGGGATCACTTGGAGTGATGGTGTGTATATGGATTTTGTGGTACCTGTATCCTCAGTACTCTTTTTGTTTTTCAGGGTATCCAAGGGAAGAAAGTACCAAGCAAACCTAACCTGAAGGAAGATGAAGACAAATCTGGTCCTATTTTTATCATCGTCCCAAATGGGAAAGAGCAGAGGATGAGAGATGAGAAAGGATTGAAGGTGAGGAAGAGCTTGAGCATGCTTTCTTTTTAGCACATTGAATTCTGTAAGCAAGCACTTGCTCACAGGTAAGAGATCTTAGCATCCTACTTAGGGAGATGAGTAGCAGTCCTCACCTAAAGAGCAGACATCCAACTGAAAGGCTGCTTATGGAGCACAGAAGTTTTTAGATGATATAAGAAAACCATGAACTTTCAGTCTAATTAAAGAGTGCCCCAAGATTTGAACCAGACACTAAAGCACAAAAGACTGCTAAGATATGACTGATGGACATGAGTCCTACTCTGCAAGCATGATAATTCAGTCACTAAGTATGAACTTTTAGAAAAGGATTAGGTTTTGTTATTTTTATCAACCCCTGTTGCTAAAATCCACTCGTTGGAAAAATGCTAGTGATCATTATATGGGCATCAATCATCATCAGGGAACCTAAGTGGCACATTGAACTGGCTGAAAGATAATTTCCTGAACTAGGAAAATCTTGCTTTGTTAGAGTACTACCAAATGCTGTGGAGAAGCATGCCTGCTTCCATTCTTATGGCTATACTAGCCAATTGCCCGTCAAGAATGATGAGGGGTGGGGGAGGGAAGGGGGCTGGGATGGAGTGCCGCCACTTAACGTCCCATGCTGCTGCTGTTCTGCCTCTTGCAGGGAGTGGGGCAGGGAAGCCAAGACCAGTGCTGCTGGCCCCGGCTACCCCACCCCCTGTCTGGTCCTCGACGTGGCTTTGGAATCATGGCGGCGCTCCCCCATGCTTGGAGCACTCTGTTTCCGTCAGTCAATCGGAGTGTGAATAAAGTGTTGCGGACAGACAGACAGATGTAGGCTTTTATAGTGTTAGAATTTAAAGCAGTGTTGTATATCTGTGCTCTTTTGGTGTTGGGATAGAGTTTACTGTTTTATATTATTAAAAAACAGCAGACTTGCAGGTTTATTCTTTCATGTCAGCTTGGTAAAAAGCAGTGAATTACTTGCTTTGAGTTCTGAGTGCTTTGTTTTTTGGGATTTGTTTGTTTGTTTGTTTTTTTCTAGGTGTTGAAATGGAACTTCACTACTCCCCGTGATGAATATATTGAGCAGCTAAAGACTCAGATGTCCAGCTGTGTTGCCAGATGGCTACAGGATGAGATGTTTCATGCAGACTTTCAGCACCACAACAAGGCATTAACTGTTATGATCGAGGTGAGTAATGGACCTGTGATAGGAGCCAGTAAAATGTTGAGTGTTCTGTGCCACAGAAGCACTGCCTCAGTTGTGTTAAGTAGTGCTTAAAGAGTCGGGAGTAGGTTAAGAAGTTTCATTGTGTTTTAGCTTGCTTTACTGAGAAAATTAAACCCAAATGACCATGTTCAGAAGGACCACAACTTAATATAGTCAGTTTTTGGTGGGGAGGGAGCTGTGAAGTGTATATGCAGTTGATGTGTCTCAGGCCTAAAACAAGAATTTTAGACTTGTATTAGCAGAAAATAACATATAAATATGTACTACACTACTAGATGCAGCTTTTATATATGCTTTGTCATTTCTTCAGGCCATATATTTCAGTGTACACAGACTGATGTGTGGGGTTTTTTTTCACCTCCCTCTTCCCTCCTTTCAAGCACTTGGAGAGTGAAAAAGATGGAATTATTAGCTGCCTGGATCTAATTTTGAAGTGGCTTACACTGCGCTTCTTTGAAACCAACACAAGTGTTCTGATGAAGGCCCTTGAATACCTTAAATTGCTTTTTACCTTGCTGAGCCAGGAGGAGTACCACCTTACTGAGAACGAAGCATCCTCTTTCATCCCATATCTTATTTTGAAGGTATGATATACTAATGGAAATGGGCATTACAGTTTTGCTTATGGATGCCACCAGGGCACAAATAAATGCTGTAGTTACTCAGTTCACTCTAATACTTTGCATAGTTGCCTTTCCAAGGTCCTTGTCCTGAGTGTTTACATTTTTTTGAAGGTTGAGCCAGGTTTGTCTGGTATTGTGTAGACACGTGGCAAAGTGCAGTGGGCAATGTGGAGTGCTTAAAAATTGGTCCTGTGATTTGCTTCTCCTTCACCCAGGTTGGGGAACCAAAAGATGTTGTTCGCAAGGATGTGCGTGCCATTCTGAACAGGATGTGCCTCATTTATCCAGCCAGCAAAATGTTCACTTTCCTTATGGAGGGGACAAAGTCCAAAAACTCCAAACAGCGGGCAGGTGAGGAATAGCACTGTGGACTGGGATCTTTGGGGTAGAATCAGACAAACGGGTTCTAAGATTTGCCTACAAATGCCATTTCCCTTGAATGCATAACTCTCTTCTAGGGGGCAAGAAGGGATGTTAAAAAAAACCGAACAAAAAAAACCTTGTTCAGATTCTTTTTGGTATTACTACAGAAAAGTTTTAAGGAATACGTTGTAAGCTGCCCATCATGATGGTTCCATTCTAATCATTAGAAGGTCTGTGTCTTACCAAGCTAGGAGCCTGCTCGGTGCCAAAGGACTTTAGAGAATTTAGTTTTGCCCGAGTGACTTATGTCAACCAATTGGGAACTATTAATAGTCTAGTCTTGAAAGGGAAACCAAGGTCTTCATGGTGTGTAGCCCCTCCCTGTTTCTACATGACTTGCCTCTAACAGTTTCCTAGGTGTCTGGGGGACCCTTTTTTTTTTTAAGTCAAAATATTAGATGGAACATTAGTTCTTTGCCCCAAACAACATGATACTCACAAGTGACTGAACTGTGCAGAACTTGGACTTCTTTCCACAATGGCCTATTCCTGCCCTGTCCTGTTAATCTGTCTGATCATTGCATTTTATAATTAAACATTGCATCATTGAAGTAATTATCCAACATGCTTATCTCTTGCAATGGAAAATATTGGGTGGTGGGCAGTGGTGTGACTTGGTAACAGATTAAAAGGTTGTCCCCCTTTCTTCCTCCCTGAGTCTTCTCAGTCCCTACCCACTGTAACAGCCCCTAACCCCTGTTACTGGAAGTGAGTAAGGTCAGGTAAGTGGAAGGGGGTGAAGCATAGGGTCATAATCCTGGCTTCTGATAAGGAGTCTCAGACTTGACTGAAGAGAAGCTCTTCAAGGAATTACACAGAGTTAAGTAGGTTATTATACAGTTCATGTTGCTGTTTAACTAGAGGGTTGGGAGTGGCCATAGGGGGCACATCCAGATGAGTACACATGTGCATTTTCCATGGGGACAAGTAGCAGCAGCACATTGCCACAGCTGGGCCCCAGGAAGCTATCTGGCAGCAGGGAGCCTAACCAGCAGTTGGAGTATGGCTCCAGCTAGTCAGGCTCCAGTTTCAGGCAGCACATGCTGTCACCACATGCACCACCTTGCTTTTTTCTAGTGCGGGGTTTGTTTGGTGTTTTTACACCAGGATCTCCCAGAGTCAAAAGTACCCCCAAAAAACAAACCCTGTGCTGCTACACCTGCAACTCCACCCTAGAGTTCTAAAGGAATTGGCCGAGGTCATTGCAGGACCCCTGGCACGGCTTCATGAGCACTCGTGGTGCTCTGGAGTGGTGCCGGAGGACTGGAAGAGGGCCAACGTGGTTCCCATCTTCAAAAAAGGGAGGAAGGAGGACTTGGGAAACTATAGGCCAGTTAGTCTTACCTCGATCCTAGGCAAGCTGTTCGAGAAAATGATTCTGGTGCACATTCAGGAGGGGCCAGCAGGGGACTGCATGCTTAGGGGCAACCAACATGGGTTCATCAGTGGCAGGTTCTGTCAGACCAACTTGGTGGCCTTTTACGATCAGATCACCAGATCATTAGATGCAGGGGTAGCAGTGGACATAGTCTTCCTGGACTTCCGGAAGGCTTTTGACACTGCCTCTCACCCCGTTCTCGTTAAACTGGGAGGCTGTGGTGTAGACACCCACACAGTCAAATGGGTCGCCAGCTGGCTGGAGGGCCGCACCCAGAGGGTGGTAGTGGATGGGTCCTTCTCA